CCCTAAAAATGTATGTTATAGCTTATAATATATCATCCTAAATACACCAAAAGAACAAAAAAAAGTAGTGGCATGTGTACAAATAATGTATTAAATAAATGTTTGTTTTGTAGTAATATTTAAGTGAATATTTCAATCCTCCTTGAGAGGAGGGGTATTCTCAAAAAGAGTAAACTAAAGACTGATTTCAGATTCATAGAAATTAGAATTTCGGCCCGAATTTCGATGTTATAAAAAAAAAAAACTTTTAGTGAACCAAAAAACGAAAATCAAATCCTTTTGATGATTTTTTAAATGTCGTGCTAAAATAATATATAGATGATAGCCATTTTCTTTCTTGTGTCGTCGTAATTCACATTCGATAGGTTTTTATAATATCCAAAAACAAATAAGTTGTAATTGCCAAAAGAAGGAAAAAAAAAGAAGCAAATTTATATTCGAAGAGTGTTGATTTATAATATGGAGAAACAGATAAAAGATTTGCCAAAAATAAGAAAAAAGCAAATATAAAGTTCGGATACCTTGCTTGTTAATTAGATATTTGGCGTCATTATTTTATTTATCTATATGTATCAGCTTCCAATAACATTTTTGTTTTCATGTCGATTGAGTTTGAAAGAGACGAGACCATGATTCGATTAGTGTCATTGACTTTTAAGTCATTTGTATTGGACTCATACCGGGAAAGAGTGGGACCCACTTATCTTTCTTCACGTCATCTCTAACGTATATCCCACGTCCTCGTTTTGGGTTCTTCGAAGGCTTTTATTAAACGGCCCAATATAGAAATTGATGACTTGAAAGCCAAGTCTTACTTGGTTAAGAGCCCTAAATTGGAAGACACGGTACTATATTAATCGTGTGGACAAACCCTAAATCGAGCAAAGCATATCTGAGGGAGACGATGACGAGCCATGGAGAAGCGAACGCGATCTCGGAGCGAGAGCTTTCAGACGATGAATCTATCTATCTACCGAGGAGTATCGAACTTTTCGGACTGCAATTGATGAGAATTCCATTGGCGTATTGGCTTCGAGGTGCTTAATTGCTAAACCTAGAGGTAACAAATTATTCTTGTTGTAGGTTTTCCTTATATACATTACTAAACTCATCTCTCTCACTTAATTGCTCATTTTGTATGTATGTAGACGAGCCCATGATACTTCCCAGAAACTTATCCTTCTTTAACCGTAGCAAGGCTGAGTCCCCAACAGAGAATCCTTTCACAAACACAAAGCGATTTCGCGTGGTAAGATAATTAAAGACACAATGAGTTTTTTTTTGTTCCTGCTCTCATATGATCAACAACTAGTTAGTAGTAGTAATATGTTTTGCTTCTTTTTGCAGCTGAAGAAATCAGAGCTGAAAGACAATTATGACTTGAATCGTCTGTATTTGGAACTCTTAATTGGCACATCTGGTTGGAGAAATACGGATCAACTTCTGTCCAGCTTGACGATTGTGAAAGTGGCAATGGAAAATGCTAATGGGGAGGGACTCAATGACAAAAATGTGACCTTCTACATAAATTACTTGTGTCAGGCTCCTGTTGGTGAGGATGATGATCGCACAGCTATAGTCAGAAGAGCCTACAATGAGCAGTCCGGATGCTTCAGTCTCGAGGGTCGGAATCTGAGCACAAAAGCTTTACCCCCATAG